CCCCCCCCCCCCTCACGCTTTATCTCACTAACTCGGTCTCTCTACCTCTCTTCGTTTGACTCACTGACAACCGATCAACCTCGTGTTTCTGGCTCGTGTCCATCTTTGTCTACCTCATTCACTAAACTGGTGCAAATGTTTCCGTGCACTGCGGGGGTGCCCTTTCTTAGTCTCCATTTTGTCCTTTTGAGTACTGAATAGCTGGCCCAACACTGACCACTGACCGTAAAGAGGACTTAAACCTATGAAGAGTATCCAATTGGACAATTGCACCTGGCAGAAGGCACTCTTCGTGCTTTCTGGGTCAGTGGAGTGATCTTGTTCGACCTTTTTCTGAACCTTTCTTTGTTGTACCGTTGCATCATGTTTCCTTCCGTTTTCCTTATTATTACCTGGCGCCCTTTCGACACTGGATCAACGTATTAGGATTTTTCAGTATTATTGGACTTATCTGTTTAGTGGGGATGCTACTGTGGATTAGAAGGGTCACTTAGGCTTGACCAAACGTATATAATACACTTATAAACCTGTTTCAAGGTAAAATTGCCAAAAAATTTGTAGATACATTTGTGTGATATAAATTTGTTAAAATTGAAAAAAAAAGATATATCTAATCGTTAGTCTGTAATTTAGATTTTTGAGCACGAAAGCCCATTACGAGACATTGGACTTTAATAACCAATTCAGATAGCTTAATTAACGTATTTATAAATCACACGTGATTACCAAGTCAGATATAATTTTTTTTCCAAACTGAGGTCAAAAAATAATTTTGGAAAATTTACCTGTGCCATTTCATGTATTCCATCGTGGGATCCGTATTAATCCAAAAAATGTCACGTCACCATACTATTGTTATTGTTTTTGCTGATTTGTCATCAGTCACGTGGAAAACAAAGAATTCGAATTTAAATCCGGATGTCCATCGGCGCACGCGTCACGAATTTTTAAGTAGGTCTAGAGAATGGTTTTTCATTCTTAAAAGTCTGGCTAAGAATTTTAAAACGTCTACACCGTTCCAAACTCCACTTTGGCAAACGAGACATCATCACGTTCACAAAACGATTAAAATATTTGTCAAACAACAACAACACGAAAACCTGCACAAAGTAAATTTCTAATAACAAAGAAAAGTGATTGGCTAGTCAATAAAAAAAAAGTGGACAAAATGTATGTACACTTAAAAATTGGGCCCTATGCTGCAAGTAAAATGTCCCTATAGAAATATATCTCATCAAAACCCGGATAATTTGTCACGATGTTGTTATGTCGGAAGACCCAGCATAAGGCCATTTAGAACGTATTGACTTTGGGCTTTTTGGTATACGATTGCGAAACGGGCCCGGAGGGCAATGCGCAGAAAAGTGGAAAGGTGCTAAAGTCGATTAATTCATATACGAGGAGGGGATGTCAAAAATGTTTATATAATCGGAAAAGCTCCAAGACACTTTTTTTACCACTAAGAATAAATGGCGATATTTTTTTTATAATAAACATCACTTTTACTTTAAAAATAAAAATTTCCCAAAACCATTCCTTCGAGCGTCAGCAGTTCTTTTTTATTACTGCCAATGACAAATTTTATTTTAAGGAAACCGCCGCATGTCCGTCGCGTTGCGAAGCCGCGAGAGAACTGCGGGATGATTCGCGAGTCGCGATTTGCGAAGCCGAGTCCGGCCGAAGATAGCCGAACATTATAATATGGTATTACACGTTGAAGTCTATCACGTATGTACATACACCACATTGATAAGTTCTAGACAGGCTGAAGTGTAATTTGCGAAACCGGTGGGGGTTGACAAATATATATCGTATGTATAAATAAAATCTGACGCGTTCTATATATAGGATACTTGATGACGAATAATTTGTATATATGATTCGTGAGACAAACTACGATTAGAATTTGGATCTATTTTTAAATCGTCCCGCGACGCAATCGCGAGAGAACTAATCGCGTCTTTTGCGAAAGTTTCGAAAGTTTGCGCAATCGTCAGGAGCGTTTGTGCCTTTTGCCAGTTGTGTTGTAACGATTTGCCAACGCCCTCTTACTTTCTCTTGGTTAATAGCAACGATTATAGAATGGATACAGCATTGCTATATGTACGTACGTCCTTGTAGATTAGCATGAAAACGCCTTAGGTACGTGTTACGTTAGCTGACAAAAAAAGTGCATAGTTAGAAAAGACCTAACAATTCCATTCGTGAAACAATAATAGCGCTGATATTCAAAATTAATATTTACTTACCGGTAGCATTGTGTAATCCCTGCACGATTCGTACAACTGAATGAACACCGGAAGACGACAATTGTAAATGCGATGGGAATGAAATTCGTAAAACAATTCATAGTATATATGTGTGTAATCGACAACAATTTTTTGTAATAATTTAAAATCGTAAAAATAATTTTTCAAAAATACCATCGTCCATGCTTTTTCATAATGCAACAATGTTTGGCCAAGAGTTTTGAAAGAGTCAGTCTATGGAAATAGAAGTAAAGGATGAACACGAGAAGTAAGAAGATGATGGCGATGAAGAAAAAAAAGGGGCCCTCTGGTGTGTCCAGTTGCAATAAAAAATAAGCGACATAACCTACATAGGGCGTAGGTTTATCTGCATTAGGCGAGTGTTAGAGGAGCCAACCGCAAACCGGTCCTGGATCGTCATGTGGAATGTCAGCCGGCACTGTTGCCACGTGTATGCATGGCGTTTTCTGAAACTGCATCCCTCTCCACCATCAGCATCAGCATCGGCATCACTACCACCAGCTCAAGTACCAGTACCAGCACCA